TTACATCTGTCACTCAGACCATTTGTCATAATCCAAGGTCAAGGTTCACATTTTCCTTCTTCTCTTTGGTACAGTTATCCCAATCTGATACTGCGTGGGTACACAGCAATGCAGCTGGTTTAAAAACTGGATATCCTGCAGGTTGACGTTGTTCACAAGGAAACCTTGCCCGAATCCTTTCCTGTTTTGTTTTTTCATTCAGTCTTAGCAGGGGTAGCGCCAGAGGGGGGCAGGGGCGGCCTCCGCCACCCCAGTCACTCCCCCCCCATTGCTGGATACTTGTCATTACCTAAAGAAAGGGCAAGTTCCACACATACAAAAGCATCCACATGTTGTTGATGTAGGGTTTTGATGGTTCCCCTGCATCTCTTTTTGCAGGTACTCTGGTTTTTTGCAGGTACTCTGGACATATGCTTCAAGATGCCAGCAGGCCAGTAGCAACCTTGGAAAGGGGAAAGGGGAATTGCTAAGGGTGGGGGCAGATTAGAGCCTGTGTTGATTTTTCTGAACCCTCCTTGGTATCAGCAGGCTAGAATTTGTTGCTTTGTTTGTGTCAACAGGACAAAAGACAATTAAGTCCCATCAAAGCTTAGCCCTCCTGCAGTGGGTCGATACGATCTGCTGCAGTCACTGACCATTTGACTTCTAAATTGCCATGCAAACTTGGTCTCTGATGCAAATCTGCCCTCAAGGTTCTTCTAGAGGTGTGCATTCAACAATAACCAAGCCGAATGAATACATGAAAAATGCCTTATCAGTATTTTTGGGGTATAGCTGAGCCCAAAAAAGCCAATTGAAAAATACCGACTTTTTTTCCTGCACAACCCTTCTTCCTCGTGCAATAAACTTTCAATTTCACAGCTCGTCTCTGCTTCAGGAGATTGTCCTATTCTCCATGTTTCTCATATTTGCATCTAAAGCTAACTTCTGCTCCAAACTGGAGTAATTTCTGTTAATTCCTGCTAGACTGTTGCTGTGATTCTGTTTGGGTTTGCTTAAAAATTATGTAATTTTTTTCTTTGCTTTGCTCTAGAATAGTAAGGATTCCTTAGAACCAATGCTTTCCGTTTTACATTTTTTTTCCGGTGGTTTAGTTAGGAAGCTTTGTTTTGAGAAATTTTTTTCGGTGGTTTAGTTAGGAAGCTTTGTTTTGAGAATTCTTTTGGAAATTAAATGTTCTTTATTCTCTCTGGACTGATCTGCACCAGGTCTGAATCTCTAAACCTCATATTTGGTGGATTATACATAAGATTTGTCTTTTCTTTTTGGTCCACATTCTTGTATCAACTATTACTTATTTCTGGATGATCCCCCCCCCCACCTCAATAAATGTAAAAATAATGAGACATATACAGTATGCTAAAACTAGGTGTGGATGGTCTAGGGGGAAATCTTAAGACTGGATTGTTGGAAGCCTCTTCCTGCAGGAACTACTTTATCAATACTGATATTAGCTCTTTAATATCCCACTTGTTGCAATATTGTCCCAGCATATTTTGGTATTGTATTAAAATACAGTGGGCAGGCAACAGATGGTTGTTAGATCCGTCTTATAGCATTTGTTGCATTTACTTAGC